TTCTTTCTCTTGGGTTTGAGCAGCACAATGGCTGAGACCTTGAGTGGACTCGATATAAGCAGTGATCATGGAAGGGACTTGAAGTTGAAAGTTCTTGAAAAAGGATTGGTCCTTCAAGGAGAAGCTTGGGTAGCTACTCAGAAAGGAAAGGGTCTCAGTAAGTTCTTCCTTGAAAAGGGGACAAGGGACAGATCTTGTTGAAGCATTTGGAGTAATATTTGTACAGCCTTAACAACTTCCAGTGGAGTTTCAGTGGTGTTCTCGGTTGGGATTGCAATTAGTTCAGGATCTAGGGAGTCAAACACAGAATCAAATAGAGAATCCAATGCGGTGAATGGTGAACTTAGGTTGGATCTTGCAAGCACAATAGGAGAAGTGGGGTTTTTCTGCACCTGAGAGGTTTTGAATCAGTTTCAATTATCATAAGCAAACAAGTAATATGTTCATTATTAGATACTTACTTCCTCAAAGTCTCCAATCTGCTCATTCATAGGAGCTAAAGCTAGATGTTAGGAAGAAGCCGGGGAGGCCTTTTTAGGGGATCTTTGTTCTTGGTCCATTGAAACTTCAAGTTTTTCCTTTTCAATGTTGTCCATAGTAAAGTCTCGACTTGATTTTTGCTCTGAAGAAGGTGGAGTTTCCTGAAAGTAATGCCGATTTAGTTATACTATTTGAACAGAAATGTAATCAGGCATCTAAGGATTTTACCATGAGAGTTTCAGTGGCAGTCTTCCTTTTCTTAGGCATAACTTCATTATCATCATCATCATTATCATCATCAAGCGAGATGAAATGTCTTTTGGCTCTTGACTTTCTAGCAGGTTTCTTTCCCATAGTTTTCTTCCTTGTTTTTCTCTGGAACAAAAGAGTTAGCAGAGGAAAAATGGTATGCATTAAAAGAATGGTTATGGTTTGATCATAAGTGTTACCTGAGTAATAGTTGTAGGAGGTATGCTTTGAAGAGGAGTGTAAAGATCAGATGGAGTTGATGTTGACAAAGTTGGGTTTGTTCCTTCCGGTGCAGAGGGTGGAGCACCTGCAGTTTTAAAAATAACAAATCTATATTGCAGTGTAGATATAGTTATTAATTAGATGAAAAAATAAGGACCACAACTGACTCTGTCGAGAGCGTGATCTAGTTCTACCTGCTAGAGTTGTAGGTGGAGCATAACTGGTGGATTTAATGGGCTTATTCTCTGGTGTAAGAGTTGTGGTAAGAACAACAAGTGTGATGTTTTCTCCTCCTTAAAAGGAGAGAGATATGAACTTGTAGGATCCAAGGAGAGTATTGACAAGCTGCATAACTTCTTTTGACCTGGTAAAGCAGATATAGGAAGACCACCATTCTTTAAAGTTTGGGTCGGTAGCTGGTTCTTCTACAAATTCTTTGTATTGAAAATTTTTTAAGAGTGCCTGAAATTTATTTGTAACATCACGGACTTGGTCACTATCTGTCAACTTCACTCTTTTATGAAAATTTTTATTATAAGAAGAATGAGGAAGTACTGGAATTAACTGAGTCAATCCAAATTGCCTGGCTAGTTGTGCAGGGTTATAGAACTCTACCCCAGTCCGGCTCTTTGCATGGTGGGGAGCTATATCTCTTGCAGTCAAGAAATGGCCCCAAGCAGTCTTGTATAGTTCAATTTGTTCTGCTAAGGAATTGGCGGTGGAAGGAAGCAATCAAGAAGGGGCCAAACGACAGTCTGAAAAAGGAAAGAATTGATAGCAGGTTCGAAAGGTACATTGATGATAAAAGAATTGAAAACAATCAAGGAATGATTGTTCCTTGGGTTTAGCTCGAGCATATCCAAAATAAACTAAGGAGTCATTTGTTGAGAGATGAATTTTGGGGGACAACTCAAGGAAATAAGCATGCAACCAGAATTGATAAAGCCAGAAAGGTCCTCAAGATCGAGAAAAACTTGAGACAGTGAGGTCCGATAAACCTCTGTATAGAGATGCTAACAGAAATGAAGCTAATGCCATTGATTTTCCTTTAGACAGCGCTATAGCTAACTGGGTGAGATCTTTGGTAATTTGAATTGCAGGGGCATACAAGAAATGTCTACATAACCACAACAACAAAAAACCTATGTGTTCTTGTTCAATTACTTCAGTTTCATGTTCTCCAATCATTTCTTTGAGAAATAACCCGTGAGATTGGACGTGATGTTTAGGGCTATATTATTCAAGAAAGTAGAAGTTGGTTTCTGAGTCTTGAAGAAGGTAATTGATATCTTCCCCTCCAGGTTTTAGTCCAGTTAGAAAACAAACATCCCTAAGGGTTGAGGCCATCATCCAACAACGTAAATGTAACGAATTGGTGGTGGGTGACCAAAAGTGTAAAGATGCAAAAAAACAGTGGCTTGTTTAGAGTAAAAGAAAGCTTACTGAGTTGGATGATGTCAAAGATGCCCATGCGCTTCCATAGATCACCTTTAGCCACAGACATGCGATCCACCCACTCATTCCATTGGAGCATGGGAGGATGCCAATTCCTGATTGACAGAGACAGCCTTTCATCTTCAGCAGTTTGATACACAGGTTTGAGAAAACGAAGTTAGTTTTCCCCTTGAGGGTAAAAAGGAGACAAGGATGGAGGAATTCGATTGAAAAATGCTAGACCAAGGCCCTTAGCATTATTTGTTAAATCGATGAGTGTGGTATTATTCAGTTCAGAGAATGGTAGGGTTTTGAGTGTACTCTTATGAGATGTCGATTCTGGTGTTAGAGATTCCAAATTAAGACCAGGGTGTTGTTTTTTCGAAGACATATTGCAAAGAAAAAACGGTTTGATTTTGATGGAGATGAGAGATTTTGGAAGAGGAGTTTGGCTGATACAGAGGATAAAAGATATGTTTTATGTATATGAATCGTGGACGGTTAGAAGAAGAAGAGTTTATGGCAGTATTAATGATGGATTAGATAGGTACTGTCAATCGGCAGTTTTGGGAACTGATAACATGATGGGGTTTGGAATCTACATGGTGTATGTGGGGTTAAGTTACAATGGGTGCGTAGTTCAAATTTTAGAAGCCTAAGTTCCAAACGGCTACCAAAACTTGGGGGGCATTGTTGGCACCCATTTTGGTAATTGGGTTTAGGCCCCAATTGGGTTTGATGAACAGTGAAGTAAGTAGTAGTATGGGCCAAGAATGTAAAACCTGTTGAACAATGAGGTGTTAGAAGTTTGGGCCGAGAGGATATTAGGCTGAAGCATGCGGTAATAAGTTTGGGCTACAAGATATTTTTAACCTACATGGTAAACAATTAACTTGGACTTCGGTTGATATAGTCTCATACAGTTAGAAGAAGATTGGGTTTTGCATGGTTTAGATTTAAAAACACCACAAATGAGTTGATTTGGATAGTTAGTAATAACAAATAGATAGGAAGTATTTATTTAATTGCATAAGGATGCTTATCTATAGGATTAGCCCATTTTGAATTCATATTTTAATTATGTGATACAATTGTAAAATAGTTAGGATGCTTGTATTTAGGAATTTGTTTCACCATTAATTCTATAAATAAACAAAGAGGCATGTTGTACAAGGGGTCCAGCACCCTCAGAATCATTATTATTATTTGTTTGCTTTCTCAAGCTTTTCCAAGAATAGCATCCTTGCTATTTCTTCTTGCTCTCTATCTATCTCTCTCAATATCTCGTTCTATCTCTCTCTTTCTCTCTCTCAATCTTTCCCTCTATATCTCTTTCTATATCTGTTTCTCCCCTTTTCTACTCTCAAAACGTTACTATAATTTATTCATTACAAAGTCCTTTTAACTAAGGCAAGTAGAACTCATTAAGGAGTTTATTTATTCTCTTTCTCCTATAATCTCCTGAAGTCAACTATCTTTAAGAGACTGCAAGTTGACAATTTACAATCGAACCATATATTTGGTTCTGGCATGCCCGTATCATATCAATTCCGAATCGGATCTTAGGAGCCAATTTCAGCATCAACAGTTTTCTTATCAATGAAAAAGTGAATATGTGAATAGTGTGTGTGAGTTTTCTTATCAATGAAAAAAAATAAACAACGAGGCTAACATTAATTTTGATGCAAGTAATTCCATTCACCCCGCGAAGATCATTGGGCTTTGGTAGAGCTGATAAGTTGTTTTTCAACCATGGCCCATTCGTCTAACAACAAAGCCTTATAAACCCCCCATTTTCCTCCATCGCCCATTTTCCATAACCACTATTTTTTCTCTCACAATCTGTCTTTATGTTACAAAGACAAGGAGATTGAGGTGCTTTCTAATGGAAGTATGAAAATGGTTGAGGTCTACAGAGCCACCTCTGTCGAGTGGAAGCTATCCCACACCAGATCGGACAGACTCTCAAATCATCGCCGTTGGCTGGCACTACCAATTGGTACTTTTTTATTTTTCTCAATTAGCAGACTCAGTTCCTATATATATATATATATATATATATATATATATATATATATATATATGAATCGATACATTCATTACTTACTTAATTGAATGATTTATGTTGTTTTTTGGTTGGCGACATTGATCAATTGTTGGCTCAGACTATTATATTGAAATTGATTTTGACCATCAGGTCTGTGACCTAGCGGTACGAGACTCTTAATTTCTAAAGAGAGATAAGGGATTCGAACCTCCGTCGAGACATGAGAGTCCCAACTATGAAAAAAAAAAAATTTGATTTTGCTGGCTCATTACTGTAGATTTCGTTGTGATTGCTGCCTTGAAAATAGTCTAACATTTTAATTTGTGTTAATTCTGGAATTACTAAATAAATTGATCCGTAGCAGACCTTTCTTTCATATGTTTCTTTTCTTTTCTTGATCTGCCATGTTATATATATAGAGAGAGAGAGCATATATATATATATATATATATATATATATATATATATATATAAATTGGGCCTATTGGCACTTTGGCAGTATTGCCATAGTCAGTGAAGCTAACTATAATAAAATTATATATATAGAAAGATAGGGATCGCTGGCTCATAGAATAGTCCCACACAGTGATGGAGTCACCATTTACTTAGAAGACTAAATTGAAACCTGCAGTCAATTTGTCAACAAGTTTAGATGGGTTCATCGTCTAGACACAAAGTTGACTTCAAAAATAAAATCATTTGTATATATATACATTACAATTTTTTTTTTTTTTTTTTCTTGAACTAGCAATTTCTTGGTTGGCATCAACTCCATCAGTCAGCAGTACCTAATAGGCGCATCCTTTATCTTCCTTCCATTATCGTCATTGTCAATTTATTTCCGGTATGGCATCCCTCACTTGTTGATGTCTCTTCATCAATGGAACTTCTTTCTACAAAGAAGCCAGGTTCTTTGGGTTGAGTTAATGTCACCATCTCGTTGCTCAACATAAAAACAACCGATGACATGATTGGTCTGTCTTTTGACAGTTTCTGAACACATAGTAAAGTTACTTGAATACATCTTAGCACTTGAGATTCAATGTAAGAATTTTCCAAACATGGATCCATTAGTTCCAGGGCTTTGTGTTCATTCCACAGCAACCAAGCCTTTAACAATCACATCATCAAACTTAGTAATTCACATTGAGAGCTAGAGAGAAAAATAAAATAAAATAAGAATACATTTTACCATAGATATTTACATGTCCCAAAAGCGAATGACAGTGATCAGGATGATGAAATTTCCTGTTCCTCTTGTCACTCACCATTTCCAATAAAAGCACACCTAAACTAAAGGCATCAGATTTTATTGAAAATTTCCTATCGATGGCATACTCCGGTGACATGTAACCACTGCATAAAAATATCAAATTTAAGCATTTGAAAATTAATGAACAATTACTTTCTGAGATTTGTTTGCAAAACTTACTATGTTCCGATTATTCGCTTTGTTTTGGCAACAATTTGTTCTCTCCCAAAACTTCTTGCTATCCCAAAGTCTGAAATTTTGGGACTTAGTTCATCATCTAGTAAAATGTTGCCAGCTTTGAGATCCCAATCTTGAATCCTGGTGAAGGTAGAGAAGTCCCCTTGATATGCCCATAGCAATTGCAAATCATTTTTCCCATGGAAGTTCTAGTCCTTTATTCTGATCTGCCCAACATTTTCATCCATACAAGTTCTAAATCAGTTCTCACTTTTACAATAGAGCGGAGGACTCTGCTGCATAAATGCATAAACTGAACTATGAAATTGATCTAATAAGTTAGATAGTCAAGAGAACTAGACCAAAAATGAAATAGTCCAAGCTTTTGTTCGGCATGTACTCATATATTAGCATTCTCTCTTCTCCTTCAATGCAACTGCCTAACAGCCTGACAAGATTCCAGTGTTGAAGTTTGGAAATCAAAACAACTTCGTTTTTGAATTCTTGCACACCTTGTCCAGAATTCTTCAAAAGCCTCTTGACTGCTATTTCGTGTCCCGTTGTTAGCTTACCCTACAAATTTTTGAAAAAAAATGTTAAAATCACGGTGATTCATTTTCTTGATTACATATCGAACCAAAGATTACTACTTTAACCTTGTAAACAGGACCAAAACCACCCTTTCTGATCATATTTGTGGAACAGAAGTTCTTAGTGGCATTCACAATAGTGTCCAGATCAAGAAACGGTAACTCAATGTCTTCATTCTTAGTTTCCATGCCTGTAAAATAAAAAATGTAATAGATGCATATCGATAATTGTTATCCTTTTTAGCAAATAAATAAATACTAGATAATTGTTATTATTTAAATAACTGTCTAGGACGCTTAGAGGGAATGAAAACTTACAAAATGTTCAAAATGTCTACCTAATTGCATAAATTGTCTAATAAACATGTGACAACAACTGCCTTAAAAAGTATCAATAATCATACCAGAGAGAGGTGGTGGTATACCTCTTTTCTTTCTCCTCCTCTTAAGTATACACCAAGTTAACAAGCTGAGGACAAGCAACCCAGAAACTGTTGATACCACTACGATCAACATCAGTGTCTTCTTCTTCTGATTATGGTCTAAGTTTATGAGAAAGTTAGTTCATCATTAGTCCTAAACCTTCATTTGTTGGGCATTCCTTCAGAGCAGCATAAATAAAGGAAATTCTAGACATGAATCCTAAACATTTCATTGAAGATATTCCACAGTACAATAAAAAGCGATTAGCATGATTGAAACTGGCCTAAACTAGGTAGATTGAAACCTAAGTACTCATGTTTGAGCAAACAAACGCGTTTGAGTTTTGGTAAAATAATTTAAGGGGCTGACATCTAAGAGAGTAATAGGAGAATGTGGATATCGTAAAAGAGAATAGCACAAGTATGCTTACTGAGTTCAGAAGCTGGCATTCGTATGTAGATATCTTGCTCACCATCTTTGTTATTAAACTCTCGAATATCAACTAAATCGCCAAACCAAATCAAACAGCCACTGCCTCCTCCTCTGATATCTGAATTAGCATAAGTTATACAAGAACAATTCTTCAAGCACTCTGCCTCGCATTCCTCAAGGTTCACACTCTCCTTCAGCCAAAAGTCTAACAGGTCTGGCCATTTCACATTTTTGAGTTTCACAAATCCCTCTCCATTCTGGCAATCCAGTGATGTCCTCCTCACACATCCACTGTACCAATTAAGCAGGTCCCATTCTTCCTGCGATTTTGGAATGAACCCATCCAAGCACTCACATACTGGTCTATTGTTAATTCTGCAAATACCACTGGCTCCACACTGTCCATAATCATCACAGGTATCATTCGGTATTGTATTTATAACAGCCCATTCAGAGCTTCCTTCATTCAGGATGAGGCGTTTTAGCAGACCCAATTGATTCAGCATTAATCTTGTAATATACAAGTTATTTGTGGCATTGAAGAGCACGAGATTTCCATCGCTGTTGATAGTTAAATTTCCATATGAATCTGCAATTGGGGTTTCCCTGTTTGCTACCCACCCCACAGTTTGTGTAGAAATCTTGTAGTTCCATATTCCCAAGTACAGATTCTTGGAACCACTGGGAGAAAAGAAGCCTAGTTCGAAACTTTGGCCCGATGATACTAAACTCTCACCATTGGTGATTGATTGATACGGAGTTAAAGTATCAGCTGCAGTGGTGAATTCTAGGACTGAGAATGAGATTAGTGAGTAAAAGATGATGAAAGGAAAGGTATCCATTGGCAATATTTCTTAAAAAAATGGTGATCATGTTTTGGTCATCAGAACGCTATTATAAGCAATAATTAGGCCAAATTCCACATTTGTGTGCCACTGTAAGTCAATCTTATGTGGGCCTGACTATGATTTATCATCTCAGTTTCTTGATTCATTCCTTTCATTGGATAGGAGGCCTTAAAAACCTTGAATTTGGGAGTGCCCCATTTCATAGGGCACAGACTTTAAATTATAAATGTACTGCTTCCGATTCGTCACGAATAAATGAGACGTTTTAGTATGAATGAGATCTTTGAGTTTTGCGTACATGTCATGTAACCCCTGAACTATGCATGTTACACCACTTTACCCCCTCAACTATATTATTGACACTTGATACCCTCAACTATCCCTTTTTCTGCAGATTCATATGATCCTTAACTTGCCGGTGAAGACTAACATTAAATTAACACGTGATTGGTAAAAAAAGTAAAATGATGAAACCGCCTTCTCCACCTCCACCTCCTCCTCCATCGCCGGTGCTACTACCTATAACTCCACCGTACCGGGAAGTAAGGGAGTTGGCAAAGTGAAACAGGAGAACAGTGATCGGAATTGGGGTTTTTTAACATGAGGAATCTGTTAGTTAAACAGAGAGATGGCAAGAAATGGTTGTTTGTTTCTACAGCCTTTTTAGTTGAAATGTAGATTTTCCCTCAAAGATCCGTAGGTTAAAAACCAAATCCGAGCCAAAACACTAATTCCATGCACGTTTGAAAAACCAGCAACCTTTAACACAAAGTCCAAAAAAAAATTAGCAATAAAAATAAAATCACTCGGCACGTTAATTAGGCATTAAACTTTTGGGACAGAGGAGGTGCAGTATCTAGCCGTTACAATCAGGATCTGAACTACAAGCACGGGACCCCTTTCAATCAAGGATCTCTTAGCTTTTGGGTCAGGAACTAATGTTGAATACACATGAAAGATGAATTAATGGGCAAAATGGTAAATTCCTTTGTTTGTTAACGGCTATTTCACTCTGTGAGATTTTGTGTGTATTTTTACTTTTTATATTAGGAGATATTTTGTAATTGAATGTCTTGGAGAACAAGCTCTGCGCCGGGCCAGTTACAATCAACATATAAAGCCTAGTCCCATTGACCATTAGAAGTTGCCCATTTGAAATTCCACATTTGTGTGCTCTGTAGTCAAACTCTTGTGGGCCTCACTATGTTTGATATTCCTGAATCCCTATCCATTATTTTTCTTTTTACTGATGTAACTGATAAGTGCATAAAATTTGTTATTTTAGATAATTGTTTTTATTCGTGTTTTTCATATTTTACCGGGCCTGATTTCGGAATAAGAAGAAAAGAAACAAAAATAATAGAAATGTGGAATTATACGAATTGCCTTTTTCATTAAATCAGCAAAGATCAAGCCAAATTGGATTAGAAAGCACGTTAAGTCAAAGATCAGATCAAATTGGGAAACAGCAAGATTTTAGGAAGATTTTATTTTATCTTTATTTTCACTTCTGTAATTAGAATTTTCTCTTCCCGATCGTTCCATTCTAAACTCTATAAATAGAGACATATGTAGACATATTAGTGGGATAAAATAATAAAAGTTAGAGAGAATTTTTGTCTTCAATTTATTTCTTATAATTTTTGTTATGAAAATTATTTTTATTTCTTTATTTTGTTTTCTTATTATGCTAGCTTAAACACCCCCTTCTCGAGTGATGAAGTCAACATGGTTGAAATATAAGTAAATTTAGTTTAATTCTTTTATGAAATTTTTTCTTGCATTATTTTACTCTTCTATTCTGTGTTCTTATTTTGATAAAAAAAAAAAATTAGGAAAAGGATTTTTGGTGTTTGCCAAGGATAATGCCTATTTCTATTTACCAAAGATATATCAGATTAGGTAAAATATGTTCTCAAGCAATTGTTGTTTCACGCTATTATTTTCGTTCATCTTTTCAAGTTATAATATGAAAATTTACATAAAAGAAATATACAAATTTATTTATAGTAAGCTGTGGTGGTAGATTCTTTTCTTGAGACTTTTCTTATTATTTGATCATAATTTATTTGTCTTAATTATTTATTTTATTTTTAGTTCATTAGAAAAAAATTATTAAAATGTTTTAAAGTTATTCTTCTTTAAATTTTGATTTGCCGGGGATCGAACCCGGGTGACAGGCGGGAATACTTACCACTATACTACAACGACGATGGGAATGAGATGGAGCAGTAACAGCCTCCTTCGTGGTCGATCTTTAATGCTTATGCTTCTCTCGGCGACTCCCACTGAGAATATAAATAAAACACCAATCAATAAGCAACAAATGAAGAACAAGGCACTGTGATTTTGTATAAGGCAGTTAGATTGTGGAATTGTTTTTTTATTTTTTATTTTTTTTTATCAAAGGTCAACCACAGAAGGAGAAAGAAAAGTAAAAGAAAATTAAGGAAAGAAAAAAAAATAATAAAATAAAACAAATAAAAAATCAAATAACACTAAACTATTGAACGGATCAATAAATGAAGCTGAAGCAATATATATATATATATATATATATATATATTTAACGGCTACTCCTACAGAGAAGATGATGGAACATAAAGAAAAAGAAGATAGAACAAAAAGAAAATAAAAAGAAAAGTAAAATAAAATAAATAAAAAAAGAGAAAGAAAAAAAAATAACTGAATTATCTTGTGTGTTTATGCCCAAGTGGTTGCGGGTTAACAAACATTTAATCCGTTGTTTTACTGATCCTTCACTCATTGAGTTAGAAAAACCCCTCCTGCTCTCTTCAACCACTCATCAATTTCCAATGGCTGAATCTAAGACTTTGAATGATTACTTTGCACCCATCACAGCCAACCCACCCAATTGCATAGTTCTCCCTACAACTGAAGCACCCCAGTTTGAGATTAGACCTGCTACTATCCACCTTTTACCCAAATTTCATGGCTTTGAAAGTGAGCAACCCGATATCCATTTAGGAAAGTTCTTAACTATTTGCAACACTTTTAAAAGCCAGAATTTGAATGAAGAGGGTGTCAAATTGCGTCTCTTTCCTCTATCCCTAGAAGATAAGGTTGCCTCATGGTTAAATTCCATTTCTCCAAATTCTATTCGATCATGGAATGAACTTGCAAAGAAATTCATGAACAAATTTTACCCCATGCAAAAGACAGAGTCAATGAGAGGTTCCATTAGTAATTTTAGAGGGAAAAATGAGGAACAATTTCACCAAATTTGGGAGCGTTTTCATGATTTAATTCTTAAATGCCCACACCATGGCTTTGATAAAGCCCAACTAGTTCAATTTTTCTATAAGGGGCTTTCACCTATAAACCGCACCATAATCGAGTCTATGAACCAAGGTAAATTCAAGGCCCAAACCCCTGACCAAGCCTACACATTCTTAGAGGAACTAGCTGAGAATGCCCAAAATTGGAATTCAAATACTGATGAATTTTCTAGGAATGACCAAACCAATAAAACATCTTCTTGGTATGAGATCAAACCAAAAAATGAATTAAAATCTGTGATGCATAGTCTAACTGAAGGAGTAAAAAACTTGACCAAAAAATTCGATACTTTTGCACTCATGTCCACAAATGCACAATGCAATGTGTGTTCTAGTTCATCTCATCCTAGTGAAGCATGTCCTGTCTATTCTACCTCTGAACCTTCAGATGCTCAAGTGTGTGCCTTTAATACCTATAGGAGACCGACGACTAATACCTTTAGCCAAACTTACCATCCTGATACTAGAAACCATTCTAATTTTTCTTGGCGACAAAATTTGCCTCCCCAAAACTTAGGTGGTCATCCCGGTTTCCAAGGTAATTCCAATAGGCAACCCCAATCTCAAGGTTTGCTCGTTCCTCAAAGTCAGTTCCCACCAAACACCCAGTTGAGTAACAATCGTGATCTCGCACTTGATCCCATGAGCAATTATGTTCCTCCTGTCCCACAGAACCAACATGTTTCCAACTATGAGGACACTCTGAAGATGCTTGCCCTTAATCTCAACCAATCAAATAAGCAATCTACTCAGAGAATTCAAAAGCTAGAAAGTCGCTTTGACCTTTTGACTCAGAACCAACTGCAATTCCAACAGTCCATGCAAAATCAGTTGAGTCAACTCACTTCCGTTTTGTCTGAACGACAAAGAGGTACCTTGCCTAGCCAACCTAAAATCAACCCTCAAGCCAAAGGGGTTCATCACATTGAAACTTCCTCTTCCACTGACCAATCCAATGGCCATGTGAATTCCATCATCACGCTTAGGTCAGGGAAACAAATTGATAATAAGGTTGAGCTACCCACCCAACATGAACATGAACCATCCGAGTCTCGTGCATTAAACCCTTCAAAAGCTAAAAAAGACCAAAATTCTCAAATTAATAATCCTACTCTTCCGCCTTATGTTCCACCTGTACCTTTCCCTTCTCGACTAGTTAACAATAAAAAGGATTCGCAATACAGTGAGATCTCAGAAATTTTTCAAAATCTTCAGATTAATATTCCATTTCTCACTGCCATTAAGCAAATTCCTTCTTATGCAAAGTTCATCAAAGACTTAGTCAATAGGAAAACCCACATCCCAAAGGAAGCCTTCATAGCCCAACATTGTTCCTCATTCTTACAAAACCAAGCTATAGTCAAACATAAAGACCCTGGTAGTCCGACTATCACTTGTAGGATTGGCGACACTTTTGCTGATCAGGCCCTGTTAGATTTACAGTGTGAACTTGTTACCTTATTCTGTGTACCAAGAGTTAGGATTAAACAATTTGAGGAAAACCGATGTTAAAATCCAATTAGCTGATCGATCAGTTAAAATTCCAAGGGGTATCATTGAGGATGTGATTGTCAAAATGGCCGATTTTTATTATCCCGTCGACTTCATTGTTTTAGACACCCAACCTACTCAAGGTAAACAGATTCCCATCATTTTAGGTCGCCCATTCTTAGCTACCGCCAATGCATTGATCAATTGTAGAAATGGGAACATGACCTTAACCTTTGGAAATATGAAAGTGGAAATGAATGTGTTTAGTTTGATGAAACAACCCCCTGACTCACCAATGTCTAGCTCATTTTGGTGCTAATTTTGATGAGGATAATTATATTGGAGAGGTCAATGCCTTATTAGATTCCACTCCAATCTTTGACACACCTAAGTACCGACTCCACTTTGAATCATTGTCTTCACCAAATAACCCTAACTCTGAAACCGTGAAAGAGTCTCCTAAGGTCGAATTAAAGCCTCTCCCTGAGACTTTAAAATACTCTTACCTAAGTGAATCTGATACTTTTCCTGTGGTGATCGCATCTGACCTAACCAACAACTAGGAGACCCAGCTACTTGAGGTGCTTAGGGCGAATAAAGAAGCCATATGTTGGTCTATTGATGATATCAAAGGCATTAGTCCTTTAGTGGTGCAACAACGTATTCATTTGGAGAATGATGCTAAAACCTGTAGATAACCCCAGAGGAGACTAAATCCTAACTTAAAGGAAGTTGTCAGTACAGAAGTTATCAAACTCCTTGATGCCGGTATCATATATCCAATCTCTGATAGCCAGTGGGTAAGTCCAGTCCAAGTGGTTCCTAAGAAGTCCGGCATTACTGTCGTTCTCAATGATCGTAATGAGTTAGTTCTTACCCGTGTCCAAACTGGATGGTGAGTTTGCATCGACTATCGAAAGCTCAATAGTGCAACTAGGAAGGATCATTTTCCTTTACCATTTATTGACCAAATGTTAGAGAAATTGGCTGGTAAATCTTTCTATTGCCTCTTAGATGGTTATTCTGGCTATAATCAAATCCCTGTCCACCCTGATGACCAACACAAGACCACTTTTACCTGCCCATTTGGTACATTTGCTTATCGTCGTATGCCATTTGGCTTATGCAATGCACCCACTACATTCTAGCGGTGTATGATAAGTATCTTTAGTGATATGGTTGATAAGTTTCTAGAAATTTTCATGGATGACTTCTCTGTCTTTGGCTCGTCATTTGAACAATGTCTGCACCATCTTACTCTCATGCTTCAGCGTTGTCGTGATACTAACCTCGTTCTTAATTGGGAAAAAAGTCGTTTCATGGTTCAAAAAGGAATTGTCCTAGGTCATATCATCTCTAGTGCCGGAATCGAGGTAGATAAAGCAAAAATTGATCTTATCTCCAATTTACCCATTCCCAAAACTGTACGCGATATTCGAGCTTTCCTAGGTCATGCTGGTTTTTATAGACGTTTCATCAAAGACTTCAGTAAGATCGCACGGCCTTTGACCCATCTTCTAGCTAAGGATGCCCCATTTGAGTTTACCGATGCTTGTCACTCCGCTTTTGAGCAATTAAAAACCGCACTCACTACTACACCCATAATTTGGTCACTTGATTGGAACCTACCTTTTGAGATCATGTGAGATGCGTCAGATTATGCAGTCGGGGCTATTTTAGGGCAAAGAGTTGATATAGCACCCTATGTCATCTGCTATGCTAGTAAGACCCTGAATGATGCCCAATTCAACTACTCAACCACTGGAAAAGAATTGTTGGTGGTAGTGTTCTCCTTTGACAAATTTCGCTCTTATTTGATAGGATCTACGGTTATCATTCATACCAATCATGCTGCGTTGAGACATCTTCTTTCCAAGAAAGATGCCAAACCTAGGTTGATACGATGGATCTTACTCCTTCAGGAATTTGACCTTGAAATCCGTGATAAGAAAGGCTCTACGAATGTAGTTGCTGATCATTTGTCTCGTCTAGTTATTGATTCGATTAGCAATTCTCTTCCCATCTCTGATTATTTCCCTGATGAGCAACTTTTTGCGGTATCTCCTGCACCATGGTATGCCGATATTGTCAATTACATTGTCACAAATCACACCCAATCTACTTGGTCCAAGCAAGAGAGAGATAAATTCCTAGCTAAGGTTAAGGAATATTTTTGGGATGACCCCTACCTGTTTAAGTATTGTCAAGATCAAATCATCCGTAGGTGTGTCCTCGAGGTAAACCAAGAGTCCATCATTTCATTCTGTCATGATCAGGCCTGTGGTGGCCATTTTAGCTCTAAACGGACCGCTGCGAAAATCTTACAATCAAGCTTTTATTGGCCCGCCCTTTTTAAGGACACCCATACCTACTGTGTCGTATGTCTTAGATGCCAACTCTTAGGTAAGATTACTAAAAGGAATTAATGGCCCCAACAATTCATACTAGTGGTAGAAATCTTTGATGTTTGGGGTATTGACTTCATGGGACCCTTTATCTCTTCATATGGGTATACCTACATCCTCCTGGCAGTTGATTATGTGTCCAAATGGGTAGAAGCCTTAGCCACAAAGACAGCAGACCATAGGGTTGTGGTGAAATTCTTGAAAGACTTCATTTTGTCTCGCTTCGGTACACCTCAAGCCATAATTAGTGATAATGGTTCATATTTCTGCAATAAAGTCTTTGCTAGCCTAATGTCCAAATATGGGATCACCCATAAGGTAGCCCTATCTTACCACTAGGGATGGCAATGGGGCGGTTTGGGGCGAGTTTCCCATTCCCCATCCCCGCCCCCGTTTAATTTTGGTGCCCCCAAAACCGCCCCATAACCGGTTAATTTTTTGCCTCTAATCCCCATTACCGCCCCCGCCCCCGCCCCATAACCGATTATATTTTTATTTAAACACAATCATAGCACATATACACACACACACATATATATATATATATATATATATATATATATATGGAAGTGTTAAGTGTAGGGTCTCGAATATATAGAGAGAGTGTGTGTGTAAAGGTTAATTTGGTAAATATATTAACATGGTAGGATAAATTAGTAATTTAAAATATTAAACGGGGCGGTTATGGGGCGGGGATCTTAGTCCGCCGCCCCCACCCCACAACCGGCCGGTTTTTTTTTTTAACCTCCATTCCCACCCCATTTAAGTAAACGGTTCTCCAAACCCACTTTAAATAGGGCGGGGGCGGGGCGGTTCCCCACCGGATTGGGGATTTTTGCCACCCCTACTTACCACCCACAAACTAATGGTCAGGCTGAGGTATCCAATAGGGAGATCAAACATATCTTAGAGAAAACGATTAAACCCACAAGAAAGGACTGGAGTCTCCGTCTCCATGACGCTTTATGGGCCTATCGTACTGCTTATAAAACCCCTATAGGAATGTCTCCATACCGATTGGTCTATGGCAAAGCCTGTCACTTGCCTGTCGAACTGGAACATCATGCTTATTGGGCATCAAGGCCATGAACTTTGATTATGATCAAGCAGGTGAGCGTAGGACATTTCAACTTAATGAGTTGGAAGAACTTAGAAATGATGCCTATGAGAGTTCGAGGATTTATAAAGCTAAGACTAAATTGGAACATGACAAATAAATTTTAAGAAAGGAGTTTTTACAAGGCCAAAAGGTTCTTTTATATAACTCCCGTCTTGCATTGTTTCCTGGGAAGTTGAGGTCACGATGGTCTGATCCATATTATGTACACCATGTTGCTAGTCATGGTGCCATTGAGGTACAAGATCCCAAAACTGGAAAGTTGTTTAAAGTCAATGCTCATCGTTTAAAACCTTTCCTTGAGTTTGAGGCTCATGTCATTGAGGACATTTTCCTCATCAATCCGGTCTATTCGAACTAATCTCTTTTGGGGGAACTTCCCCCATTGCGTCTGGCTGAAGACGTTAAATTTAGCGCTCCTGGGAGGCAACCCAACCGGTTGTGTCTATTCAGTTACCTTGGATTGATTTTTAAGTCTTAACCAGTTGTATCTCACTCATACTCGTTAGCTCCGTAACTGTTTAGTATTTGAATATGGTTATATTTTGTTTGGGGGTACTATATTTATCTGATATGGTTTTCGACTGTTTTCCATAACCTCTTTTGCAGAAATTGTACTCCACATCGAACCAAGTGAGGTAATATGTTCCAATGTTTCTCTATATATCTCTACCTATACTTGTCCATTTAATTTCCATATTCTTTGGTTCCAACACTAGGGACAGTGTTGTCTTTTGTTTAGGGGTGGGGCAATGATCTTGCTTCAATGGAAATTATAAGTTGAATTGCATGTCATGTCAAATTTGGGTGAAGTATTGTTCATGTATGATTAGGAATTGGTATTTTAGAGCAGTTTTGAATCTTTAATTCATGTTTTAGTATATGTGGTCCACATCATTGTCCAGTTTGACTATTATTAATGATAATTAGTCTCTAGCGTACTTCACTTCTCACAGATGCACACTAGTATCTTTTTGTGGGGTATAGGCCTAACCTTATGTGATATATTACATGTGTTGGATACAAGTTAGTAGACCTTGAAAAGTAGATGTCCTTGGCATGATGATAAAGATATATGCATGATTAGTTAATACCTTTCACGAAGTAACCGGGCCTCTTGCCTCAGTAAGTAGTGAGTGTTCGCGTCAAAAAGTGGAGGGTCAGGAAAAAATGAAAGTGTTGGTTTAGGTTCAAAGCCTAGTTGACTTGAGTTAATAAGCTCTTTGAGGTGTCTTTATACCTAATGCTCTAAAACCGTCTGGTTGGGAGTCATTAGCCTAAAGCTCGTTACATGGGTCATCTAGAAAGCTTAAGGGACTTAAACATTGCACAGCTTACTGTCTTCTAAAAAAAAAAAAAAAAAAAAAAAAAAAAAAAAAAAAAAAAAAGAAAAGAAGAAGATGACGATGGAAGAAAGAAAGATGAAAGATTCACATGCATAAGTAAAGTCATGAGTTCATGCCTTGGGTATTCTAACTTGGATGGGAATATTAATGATT